CTATAAAGTTAAATAGAACCTGGAGCTATAAATCTTTACCTTGCCTTTGGCCAAACTGATTTCCTAATAATAAAATAAAACTGAAATAAATCAAAGGTCACCCGTTAGATAAAACGCAATCTGTATGAATGAATGATTTTATTTTTTAACCCAGTGAGACATCACAGTCAGATTATGCTAACAGGAACTTTTTCACCCAGGCGCTGCAGATTTTCCATTCCTGATAAACCCAGAGACTCAAAATAGATTTTAAAATATGTTGGTAATGATGTTCTCTCTAAATAATGTTTTTATTTGTTTGTTTTTTCAAATGTTTCTTTGATTTTTACCTGCTGACCTTTGACCTCTTTCTTTCAGACGTCTTCACCTCCACAAAAAAAGACCAGAGGTCAAACAGCCGTTCATGCAGCTAGCTGGAGTTTCTCTGCTGAAGCCACTAAAAGGAGTTGACCCGAACCTGATCTCCAACCTGGAGACATTCTTTATACTGGATTACCCAAAGGTGAAGCCAAATACTCCCAACCCAGATAATTACCCTTAGTACTCCCCCCAGCTAACCTATAATGACTGCCTGACTACCAAGACTCCTACTGTCCCACCCTACAGTCCCAGTTACCATCCCACTTTCCTGGGCTACCATCCCTGTCCTTCCACAGACTGACCTTCCATTGCCTCAGTCTACCCTGTAACATTTACTAACCTTTGAGCTCCAATAATAAACATCTGTCTGCTGTTGTACCGCTTCTCAGACTAATTGAAACATCTGGTTTTACAGTTTGAAATCCTGCTGTGCATTCAGGATCAAGACGATCCAGCTGTTGACGTCTGCAAAAAGTTGTTGGGAAAATACCCGAATGTAGACGCTCGATTATTCATTGGTGAGAAAAAATTACTTTAAATTAAGCTTTTTTTTTTTTTTTCTTACACGTTTTTCATCTGTTAGCAGCTAACATTAGCATGTGATGTCTCTGGTTCTCAGGGGGGAAGAAAGTTGGAATTAACCCCAAGATCAATAACTTGATGCCGGGCTACGAAGGAGCCAAATATGGCCTGGTGTGGATCTGCGACAGTGGCATCAGAGGTCAGTTCTTCACCACTGATGTGATGGCTATCATTGTTTTCATTGATGATTCTAAAGCTAACTCCCTTTGTGTTTGTGTGTTGCAGTGAAACCGGACACCCTGACAGATATGACTAATCAGATGACAGAGAAGGTGGGACTGGTACATGGGTTGCCGTACGTTGCCGACCGCCAAGGTTTCGCTGCCACACTGGAACAGGTAAAGTCACACTAATGTAATGGGAATTCTTTTCTTTAGTTGTCTTGATGCTAACAAATGCTAACATTAACCTGTTTCCAGGTGTACTTTGGGACATCCCACCCCCGCTCATACATCTCGGCTAATGTGACTGGGATAAAGTGTGTGACGGGTATGTCATGTCTGATGAGGAAGGATGTTCTGGATCAGGCCGGCGGATTGGTCGCCTTCGCCCAGTACATTGCTGAGGATTACTTCATGGCTAAAGCTATTGCTGACAGGTTGGCACGTTAACATTAGCACCCTGTTGATGTTGCTGTCAGAGCTTCACTTCACACTTATCCTATCTCTCTGCAGAGGCTGGAAATTCTCCATGGCGACACAGGTGGCGCTGCAGAATTCTGGATCTTACTCCATTGGCCAGTTCCAGTCCCGCATGATCAGGTGACCTCAGTACTCATTACTGAATGATTAGTGATGGTTTTTAAATGTTTTTCCCTCCATTTTGCCTGGGTTTTTTTTGTGTGTTTCTTTTTTTTGTCCATGACCTGCAGCAAGACATAATTTTATTTACATTTATTGTGTTCTTTATTTTCTTACCTGTTTTGTTTTTCACAATAATCCATTAGTATTTAGTTTTTATTATTAGTTATAAGCAGCATTATTAGGGGCGTGGGCTTTTGACTAAAGGGTGGTTGTAGCTGTTGGACCATAGCTCATAATTCTGAATCCCCTCTTTGACCTGAATCCTCAAAGCAGCTGATATTAATCAAGTTTTATGTCTGCAGGTGGACGAAGCTGAGGATCAACATGCTTCCCGGCACCGTGCTTGAGCCTGTTTCCGAATGCTTCCTCGCCAGTCTCATCATCGGCTGGGCCGCTCATTACGTGTTCAGGTACACCGTTGACCACACAGGGATGAGGTCATTAGTTGACTGGGCGTTTTTTGTTCTTTGGCCTCAATCACCAAAAAATAGATTAAACATTTATCACCTGGACATCATCCAGAGAAACTATATTGATCTCTGTGTGCGTGTGTGTGTGCTTTAGATGGGACATGATGGTGTTCTTCATGTGTCACTGTCTCGCCTGGTTTATATCTGACTACATTCAGCTGACCGGGGTCCAGGTAATATCACATACTTCTAATTTACAAGGAATATTTTTTTTCAACAATAATTACTTTTTCATTTTTAAGAATTCAGAAACACAAATATGAAGCTGCCAATTACTGATGTTTTCTGATTGATTTAATAATAATATGAAAAATATGAATGTTGTATTAATTTTCTGCCTTTAAATAGAAAAGATGACAGTTTATTAAGTAAGGTTAATTAAATTTAAAAAAAACTTAAGCCAATTAAAAAATAAAAACATTAAAAACTGGAACAAAAAGATTAAAATATTTGAAGGTTCAGTTCAATAAATAATCGTAAAAATGTTTAGATTTAAAAGTTTTTTCTAATGAAAAACAATGCAAACAAATGTAAGAAAGTTAATAAATTTAAATGAAATTGAAAAATAAGGAGATTTTTTAAAAGTGTGACTGATTATTGGTTGATGACATCACCACAGGGCGGCCCTCTGTGCTTCTCGAAGCTCGACTTTGCAGTCGCCTGGTTCATCAGGGAGTCGATGGCGGTGCAGATCTTCCTGTCGGCTCTGTGGGACCCAACCATCAGCTGGAGGACTGGACGCTACCGGCTACGTTGCGGAGGCACCGCTGAGGAGATCCTCGATGTCTAGTTACCTCGGTGACGGGCCTCATCTGCCCCCCACCTCCACCCTCACCTCCTCATTACAGCGAGGAGAGGAAGAGACTGATGTTTGTTTTTGTTTTTCTCTTTTTTTATGAGGAAAAACTGAAGAGTGTGCGTGTGCACATGAGCGTGCGTGTGTGTGTCTGTGTGTGTGCGTGTTTTAACTATTTATCTTTCTTTTGGTGCTAAAAGCTGAAAGACGCCAGAACAAGCCAATGAGAGAGCAGGAAGCAAGGAAATATGTGAGCGACACATGCACTGAATCATCTGGTCTTTGATCAGAGCAAGAAAACAGGAAGACCGTGAGCCAATCAGGACAGAGGACTACACAATACTCCCACCTGATTGGCTGATATTATTTTGCATGGAAGGTATTGACGGGCATAAAATAGGCATGAACGAGAACAGACGTTTTACTCTGAAAGTCCTCTGTGCTGTCAGATATTTAAAAAACTACTTAATTTGAGACTGCAGCACAAACTTGAATGTGACATTTGTCACATTCACATATCAGAAGAACAAAAGTCAGCTTTCACTGTTTTTCTATTGCAAAGCCTTCTCTTCTTCGGTGGTTTTTGGAAAGCTGGAGCTGGAGGACTGTGCTGTTTTCAGAGTAAAATATCTGAAACCTTCTGATTATCACGACTTTTATCCGTTTCCATTGTTTTACAAAAGTAAACAAAAAAAAAAACCTTTTGGATAAAAGAGGAAAATCTGTCCTGGGTGGTTCTGACTGGACGAGCTGAAGTCGTCCAGTTCTGGTTCTGGAGTCATAAAGAGACTTCAGCTGAAACTAATCTTCAGCTCCGGAATCATCTTTATGTGAAAGGTGAATTATATTCAGCTTCTGAGCCTTGTGAGTCACTACAGGAAAGCAGCTGCTTGGTTTTTGCTTCTGTCCATAAAATCTGTGCAGCTTTAGGATAAACATAAAAAAAAATGCAAACATGAGCAGCTGAAGGACTTGAGGCCCCTGACTGTCGTTTAGAAAAAAAAATGAAGTAAACAATGAACAAGTGAAGTTTTCTCTTAATTCATCATTAAGTTATTTGAAAAAAAATCCTTGTAATTAAATGAAATCGTCAGAATGTCATTATTTTGTCATTGTGAAGGTGCAAAGGTACGGAAACGTGACAAATTATTGTCACAAAATCAACAAGTTCCATCATCAGTTCAGCTGCAAAACCCATAAACGGTAAAATACTCTTTATTCCGATGTGAGATGCACATCATTATTAAAAATAAATTAAATATTTCTTTGCCATTTCATTTTAAATTGTTAAAACAACACGAGTATAAAATTGATCTAAATTTTAAACTGAAAAGATTAGAAAACTTCTAAAGGGATTGTTGTCTTCTTGAGTAAAAACCAGAAACAAAAAAATTACAGCGGGAAAAGACTTGTCTTAATTAAAAAACTAAATTACCTAATGAGACAATAACTTTTCTGGGAGTTCAAATGTCTTTTTCTCCCCTGATTTAATCTCTGACCCTGGAAAACACTTGGGAATCTAGCACTGAATGAATTCCAGTATTTTTTGTAAGGAACAGTCGTAGCATTTCAAGAATTTCTCTAAATGTAAAAAATAAAAAATAAAAATAAAAAAATAAGGACCAAAAATCCACATTTCTGAAGTTTTCAGTCTGAACACTGTATGTGTGTGAGGATGTGAGAGGAAGTGTTTCTTTAAGCTGTTAGCGTTTAGCTGTTACCGTAGCCACTTGCGGTTTGGTTGATGACATCACTCTGTCGGATGAACCCTCGTGGCCAGTCAGATGAATCATGTTTGTTTATTGTTGTTGTTGTTGTTTATTTTTTCTAAAGACTTATCTAATGTGGAACCGACCAATCACAGTTCACAACTGTGTCACGATAGGAACAATAAAGTTTTATCTCAACCTAAAATCTGTAAGTGTTTTGCGACTGGCTCAGTTGATTGAGTGGGCGGAGTCTTTGGCAGTCAGATGATTTTATTTAATTATTCAGTGATTCATGCTACAACTTCCTGTCAAAGTTTCAGAATAAATAAAAATTAACAAACTTTGTTTTGGAGCAGAGTGCGGCTTAGTTTAGCACTGCCCCCTCCCATCATGCACTGGTCCATGTTAAAAATATTTCATATAATAACAATAAAGTCCCACCAGCTCCCACAATGCACCACAACTACTTTACATCAGCTGATACATTCAGGTATAAAAACAGTTTGTTTTAACAAAAAGTTTAAATAAAAATCAAAATAAAATCCCAACATTTTAAACAACCATTTCTAACCTTATTCTGAAAGGGCAAATATATTTTGAAGATTTCATGTTTTCACATACGCGCTTTTTAATCCCAACTGTTTATTAATTAATTAACCAAGGCTAGAATAAATATGTAGACAACTGTAAACAAAAATGCTTTCAAAACATTAGCAGGGAATGTTATTTTGAAAGGCAATAGTAGGTGGGTTTATCGCAAAATTCTTTTTTTAAAAAACGGTGTGGTTTACATTTAAATTTAAAAGAAGGAAAACAGTTTTCTAGGCCATTCAAACAGGAAGTGATTTCATAATGGGGGCAAATGGATTTGTCCAATTAAAAGGCACAGGAACTTTGGCTTGTTTTGGCCCCACCCACCCACAACGCTTGTAACAATTTCACATAAAGTGCTTAAAATCTTTAAATAAGTGGAAAAAAACTCCAATATTAAAAGAAGTAAATTAAAAATGTAAAATGGGGAAAGTTGAACAGAAAATGAACTAAATGGCAGCGGTAGGCAGGTCTGAGGTCAGAAGGCAAACTGGGAATCGGCAGCTTCCTGTATTTTGTGGCTTTTTTCCCATTTAAAAAAAAAAATCGAATCCAAACAGAAAATGAAAAAAAATATTAAAATAAGGGAGTGAAATTAATAAAATTAATTCAGTAAAAGATGGGACATTTGAAGCTCAACCACTCACAACTCAGCTTAATACACACACACACACACACACACACATAAATACCCACGCACAAACACACAGAAAGCCTTACATGTTGTACAGTATAAATACATTCATGATTAAAAAACCCACCCAAAATGTTGACCACCAACAAAAAATATTTTAAATGATGTAGAAAAATTCTACTTAAAAAAAAAAAAATTAGAAAAAAATCTAAAGACACACAAACACAATCCGTCACCAAAACCTCCAAACACCACGTAAAAAACCAGAACCCAGCAGAATAATTCAGAAAATAAGGCACAGAAGAAGATTTGAGATCGCAGCTTAACCCTAAAATAATAATTAAAAATAATAATCATTAACATAATTCCAGCCAATCAGACGGCAGTGTGCAGAGAGGCTGAAAATTCAAAAATAACATGGCAGAAGTTTGTGAAGAACGAGAAAAATAAAAACCTGAAGTAAAAAGAAAAACGTTGGAATCTGAATTTTAAACACAAAAAAGGGTCAAATCATTTCATTTCATTTAAAAATAATATCTATAATAATTTACTTAATGCTCATTGGTAATTTTAAATAAAGATAAATTCAAAGTAAACCTTTGATAAAAGGCAGGTTTTTTCCTTCTTTTTTTTTTTACTTCCTGATTTCTTTTCCTGCATCACATTAACAAACACAAACTGACGTCACCTCCATGATGGACTTCATTACCCACAATGCACTGCTACTCAGTCTGCTCCGGAATGTGCTCTGTAACCTCTGTAGCCATGGCCATGACCCTCGGTTGTGACATCATTTGCCACCATGATACGAGGCTGGCTGTAGGCACAGAAAGATATTCCCATGGTCTGTCTGTCTGCGCCGCGGGCCAATCAGAAGCCCTGCGCTCTGAGCGGCCGCTCAGAGGTCAAAGGTCAGATGGTGGACTTGGAAAAGGACACACGGAGGTGCTGGTTGTGGTCCAACTGGTGGTCGTGAAGGGCGATCAGAGCCTCAATGGCTTCCTCCACCGAAGCCAGCTGCATCAGCGCCATCTTCCTGTCCTTCCTGTGACATCAGAGGAAGTGACATCATCAAGCACAACCCATCAGAAAGGAGGGAGAGGAAAGGAGTACATAAACACTTACAAAAAAAACGTTTAAAGAATTTTTAATATTTTTTTTTTAACATTTTAACATACAGAAAACTGAACTTTTTAAACAGTTTATTTCTTTTTTCTTTTTTCATTATTTCGTAAAGTAAACATTTCATACAGTAAAAAAATTATAGATTTAAATAATATTTAATAAAAATTAAACTTTAAAATTATTCAGTAACATTTGTATTTAAAAAATATGTTTTTTTGTTTTAGTATTTTTCTTTTTAAATAAATCAGATAATCTGCTTTTTTCTGATTGGTTAACAAGCACAAATCAGTGAACGGAGTTGCTTTGTTACTTACTGGAAAAACTTGAAAGCTTTTACTGCAAATCCATTCAAAGAAAATAAATCCTTCAACGCCTCCTCGCTCACTGAAGAGCTAGGAAACAAGGAAACAATGAAGGACAAAGATATTTAAATGCATATCAGTCTCCAAGAGTCAAAAACATCAAACAGGAAGCGAGGCGGTCTTACGGGATGTTGGAGAGGTGCAACGTTGCTGACGGAGGGAAGATGTTGTTGAAGTTTTTGGAGCCCGGCTTTTTGAAGCGGTGGAGGGCAGAGCCTGAGAAGTCCCGAGTCAGTGCTTGTTCTTCTTGCCCAGCGCCTCCGCGAGGCAGCTGCACCACCGGGTGTTTGGACAACGTCACCCGGATCACGTTACCATGGAGACGCTGCCCGTTCAGGTGACTCATCGCTGTCATTGAGGAACAAATAGAGATTATTCAATAAATAATAATGAAAAACTAAGACAACGATTGAATTTATCAACAGATATTTTTGAGATAAACAAGAATTTTTCTTCTGCTCATCCATTACAGTATTAAAATCATTAAAAATACAATTCCGAACTTTTCATTCATTATAATTCAATTGACCACTGTACTCCCGTGCATTTAGTCATTATTCATGACAATATTTATTATTATGCTGAATTAATCATCATCACAGATTAATTCACTGAACTGGAATTAAAAACTAAAGCAGCTCTGACCTTCTGTATCATCGCTCACAGCTTCATTAAAAATGCAGAAAAAATGTTAAAATTAATTAATTTTGTTTTTTTTTAATGAACTGAATTGTTTCAGACCGAGTTGAGCCTGCGTGGCGTCGCTCATCTGAACAAGAGCGTTTTCCTTCTTGTTGAAGAGGATTTTCACTCTCTGAACGTCTCCGTAAACACCTGAAAAAGCATGAAACAAAACTGTCAATGAATCAGCACAGAAACACGTTTCAAACACGTTAAAGAAATAAAATCGGAGTTTTCTTACCGAACAGGATGAAGAGGCAGTGAGGCGTGACGTTCTGCAGAAGGTGAATAAAATTAGTTCAGTGGAAAATATATGTTTAAGGTTTTTGACTAAGTATCTTTCCTTTCCAATTCCACCGAAAGCAAAAGAAAATCAATTTAAAAATTTAAATGCCATATATCTGTCCAATGACTAGCTTCACAAGAAATTCAGTCTACAGGGTGGGCCATTTATATGGATACACCGTAATAACATGGGAATGGTTGGTGATATTAAAGTCCTGTTTGTGGCACATTAGTATATGTGAGGGGGCAA